TTTGAGGACTGATTTGTGGACTGTTGATTTGAGGACTGATTTGTGGACTGATTTGTGGACTGATTTGTGTACTGTTGATTTGAGGACTGATTTGTGGACTGATTTGTGGCCTGATTTGTGGACTGATTTGTGGACTGATTTGAGGACTGATTTGTGGACTGATATTTGGACTGATTTATGGACTGATTTGAGGACTGATTTGTGGACTGATTTGTGGACTGATTTGAGGACTGATTTGTGGACTGATTTGAGGACTGATTTGTGGACTGTTGATTTGAGGACTGATTTGTGGACTGTTGATTTGAGGACTGATTTGTGGACTGTTGATTTGAGGACTGATTTGTGGACTGATGTGTGGACTGATTTGAGGACTGATTTGTGGACTGTTGATTTGAGGACTGATTTGTGGACTGATTTGTGGACTGATTTGTGGACTGGTTTGTCGCCCGATTTGAGGACTGATTTGTGGACTGATTTGTGGACTGATTTGAGGACTGATTTGTGGACTGATATGTGGACTGATTTGTGGACTGATTTGTGGACTGATTTGAGGACTGATTTGTGGACTGATTTGAGGACTGATTTGAGGACTGATTTGTGGACTGATTTGAGGACTGATTTGTGGACTGATTTGTGGACTGATTTGTGGACTGATTTGAGGACTGATTTGTGGACTGATTTGAGGACTGATTTGAGGACTGATTTGAGGACTGATTTGTGGACTGTTGATTTGAGGACTGATTTGTGGACTGTTGATTTGAGGACTGATTTGTGGACTGATTTGTGGACTGATTTGAGGACTGATTTGAGGACTGATTTGAGGACTGATTTGTGGACTGATTTGTGGACTGATTTGTGGACTGATTTGTGGACTGATTTGTGGCCTGATTTGAGGACTGATTATTGGACTGATTTGTGGACTGATTTGAGGACTGATTTGTGGACTGATATGTGGACTGATTTGTGGACTGATTTGTGGACTGATTTGAGGACTGATTTGTGGACTGATTTGAGGACTGATTTATGGACTGATTTGTGGACTGATTTGTTTACCCCATTGGTGATTTGGTGGAGCTGCATGTAGCTCAAATGTTTCATTGTTTGAATCTTGTACAGCAGAATTTTGTCTGTGTGGGAATCTGTCCAAATATCACCCAGTGCTGTTGTGCCAGAGACGCTTTAGATGGGAAACAATGATGGGAACCCAGACAGCAACATAGTGTCTGCCCAGATCCGGCCCACATCTGGTACGCATTGAATCCACATGTACTGTACCAGATGTGGCCCGGACCTGGGCCGACACTATGTTGCTGTCTGGGAAACTTTAGATGTTTTCTTTCAATGAGCGCCAGCGCTTCTATTCCAACTGGCCACTCACAATTAACATCATTACAACTAACACAACGTTTTTTTAACAGCGTAATTTCTGAATGTTCTCTGAACGTTCAAAACATCCTGTTTTTTTAAAAATGTTTTAGAAATGTTTATTGTTAATAATATAAACATTACATTGTGTCATTCTTCAAACATTATGGGAACGTTACTTTTGAATGTTCTCTGAATGTTCTGAAACAGGTAGTAACATTTAAAAACGTTAGACGAACGTCAAACTGAATTGTTTCAGAAAAAATCATTCCATTAATGATGTATAAATAATTTTCTTTTTTGCTCATGTTTGACAACAAGATTAAAGACCAGATAACTTTGAACGAACGTTCTATTAACGTTACTGGATTACACCTTTACACGTTCTTGCCAGAAGGTTCTCTGTTATCTGGGATTGTGATAACTGATGCTTCATTATCTCATGAGTGTTTCGTGCTGTCTAACACTGTCTCCCGTGTGTGTGTGCAGTGACGATCTCCACCAGCACGTACTTCGACGGGCTTCTGGTCACGGGTCTCTACACCTCCACCAGTGTCCAGTCCTCTCCCATCCCGGCGTCTCCAGCTTTCGGCTTCGGTGAGTCTTCAGGGACACACAGAACCTCACATCCTATCAATGAACACTCAGCCAGTCGAGTCCACTCGAGGCTCATTATCTGTTAGATAAGAGCAGAATCTGTGGAGGAGGACGGCTTGAGGGACTGGAGAATTGTTTGAGAGCTTGCTTAATGTTTCTGAGAACTCATGATGACTGATATTCTCCTCTGATACTCTCTCTATAAGACAGCGTGTGTGATGTGAACATGACATCGACATATGCAGACGGTTCCCAACTCTCTTCCTGAGAACAGCACATTAATACAGCATTCATACGCGAGTTAGGGCTGGTTATGAAATCATGTCATGGACTCATGAATATTAATTATGTGACGTTGTTTGGTAACCTTTCTGAAACATCCACCTACGTAATCTATTAATATTCATAAGCCGAGCATTAACAGTGGTAGGTGAGCATCCAGGTGATTATCCAACGTCATTGAACTGAATGCAGTCTTTATGCCAAATGTGTTGATTTAACTCCATATCCATATCATCAAAATATTATATAATTTCAAATATTCTTAATATGAGGGAAGAAGAAAAAAAAACACTAAACTTGTTTAAATCTGACAACATTATTTGGCAAAAAAAAAAGGCAAACTACAGATACAGGTTTTATTTTATTATGCAAAAAAATACATTAAAACTGCATAGAAAAACAAAAAGCTCACAGGAAAAAGCAAACATAATCAGTTATTAATATTTCATTGGTTCTCTCTTGTTTTTGCGCGTGTCCATAATTTATGGCCAAAAAGTATGTGGCACAATGTGTTCATTGCGTTATTTTCACAAATTAAACAATCGGCTCCGAGCACAGCTATGCAATTTGACCAAAAAATCTTTATAATCATATTAGAATAAAGGCTGAATATCCGATGTCCGTCACGTTTGGACACTACTGTATGTAAACCACAAAAGCAAAAATGTGACATGATTTCAAACAAAATATACTTTCCACTGAGTCGAATGAAGTGTGTTTGAGCTCATGAAACCATTTCTCAATTTCATTTCAGAAATCCTTTATTTTTACCTTGTTCGCTTCGTGACGCCAGTAACCCTGAGTGAAGCGGCTCCATCAGTGTGTAAAGCACATCAGTGGCACGGTTTGCACACACTCCTCCTCTCTATGTAAATGAAGCTCATCACTGAAGTCTATCTGATGAACAGATGTGTGTGTGCTCAGACTTTCACTCAGCTTTACACCTCGGATCTTGTTTAGGTCATTAATAACATTTGATGTGATGTATGATGAGGATGGATTGAACAAGTCACTCAAACTTTCATGCAAACCAGGAGAATTAAACCTGATGCCACTTTCCCAACATTAGTGTCAGAAGAACTCTCAAAAGAAATGTAAATTATGCTTATTTGAGACGCATGACAGTATGTTGTTAATAGTTTCAGAATACGTTGTGGGTTTTAATGATGCTGCAGCTCAAATTATATTTATGGTTTCGGTCAAATTTTACACTTTAATTTAGTATTAATCAAAAATATTTTTTCCCCCAAAGACAAAAACGTCAATACATTGTAAAATCATTATTTATTATGAAGACCATATACTTCATATTTTCTTTAGACATGTAGGTCAAAATCGTTTTTTGTTTTGTTTTTGGCTTTTTGATTATAAACAAAAGTTAAATTAGCTATATCAGATGAAATGAAAAGCATTGTCTCATCTTGAGTGTCAATCATTCATTCGTTCGTTCGTTCGTTTATTCATTCGTTCGTTTATTCATTCGTTCGTTCGTTCATTCATTGCAAATGATCCCGATGACTGGATGAACATGGATCCTCACACCCAAATTAATGTTAAAGATCCGCTATTACGCCCTCTTACACAGTCTTGATGTAGTTTCAGGCTCTACTAGAACAAGTTTTTCTGCTTGAATGTTGATTATTCTCCTCATATTCTCCATTGTTGCGGCTCCTCTCTTCCCAGTCTGTCAGTAACGCTCTGTTTACTTCCTGTCTCTATGAAGCCCCTCCTCCTGAAAAGCACACTGTGCTCTGATTGGTCGGCTGGAGCAGTGTGTTGTGATTGGTCGAGCACTTCGAGTGTGTTTGGGAAAGCCCCGCCCCTTTCCATACTACTAACTAACTCAACCAGGCCCCGCCCCTTTATTCTGCGTATGCACTCTAAAAAATGCTGGGTTGTTTTAACCCAACTTTGGGTCAAATATGGACAAATCCAGCCGTTGGGTTAAATTTTTTAATTAAATTTTTAACCCAATGTTTGGGTTTGTCCATATTTGACCCAAAATTGGGTTAAAACAACCCAGCATTTTTTAGAGTGTGGATTATTATAATGAGGAATATTGTGACGTGTTCGTTCCCGGAAGAAACTCAAGACTACAATGGAGGCGTTTCAGGAGTTCAGAAACACTGACAGATATAATTAGAATAATTCATAGAATTGCAGGACTTCTTTAATTCCAGATAATCACACACTGCACCTTCTTTGGCTGTAATTTGAGTTGCTTCCAATGTCATTATTATGAACGAGCCAATCACCATCTGTTATGAAATGATGAATATCACATCCAGTGAAAAGAAACAAAGGCATTTAAAAAAAAAACGTTTTAATGGAGCGGATGAAATGAAGGAGAACAAATTTAGTGAAACAGTGTGTGTTTGTGCAGCTTCCTGTATTTACTCTCACTATGCGTTCATTTGCATGCTGCTTTATGCCATCATTCTTAGTTCACATTATGTGAGTGTGTTTGTATGTGTATGTGTGTGTGTGTGTGTCTGTGTGTTAGCGCTCTCATGGGGTTGAAGAGCTGTCAGTCCCTGAGAGACTTCAAAAGCTCAGCAGCTCTGTGATCAGTCTGCTCTCTGACTCCTCTGACAGCTGCACACACACACACACACTCACACACAGACACACACACACACACACACACACACACTCACATGCACACACGTACACACACACACTCACATGCACACACACTCACATGCACACACGTACACACACACACACACACACACACACACTCACATGCACACACGTACACACACACTCGCACGCACACACGCACACACACACACACACACACACACACACACACACACACACACACACACACACACACACACACAAGATTTTACACATGCGTCTCAGTAACAGATACAGTAGTGAAAACTGACATCTCTCTTCATTCAAATATAAATGTTATATATTTTGTAATCATATTGTGTAGTTGTGCTTGGAGTGTTTCATTGAGTTGTTTTCACAAACGTCATCAAATATAAGACAAATTCAAGACAATTCAGATCAATTCAGTTCAGTTACAGTAATAACTGTAAAGTTCATCAGTAACTCAGCGAGTTTGATTGAGCTCGAGTGTGTCAGGGTGTGTGTCCATGTGTGTGTATGTGTGTGTGTGTGTGTGTGTGTGTGTGTGTGTTCCTGGTTTATTGACAGAGCTCTGACACTCCTGTCCTGTTGTGTGAGTATGTGGTTTCGAGTTTGCTCAGGCCGTATGCTCTTCTCTGTGTGTGTGTGTGTGTGTGTGTGTGTGTGTGTGTGCTGTTGTGTTCTGTGAAGCATGCGGTTTGTTTTCTCGTAGTGTTGTGTAATAATTAGCTGTGTGTTCGTGTCTTGTTCTGTTTGAACACATGAGCTTGTGTTTGTGTCCGTGTGTCGTGTGTTCTCCTGTGATCGTATGACAAGGTGACGCTGGAAACCCAAAGCACAGGACAATAGAGACACCAGAATAACAATATTCATGATTCTGAAGCTGAAATACAGAATTATTTTAGACGAATATGCTTGCGCTCTTTCACTGACTAGATGTATTTAAAATAATTTAGGCCACTTTTTACTGGGAACATCAGACATGTGGCATTATCAGGACACACAGATATTCCCCCACTGCATTATTATACATTATATTCAACATTAAATATAGTAGTTTAATGCATAGCTGTCAACATTTGGTTTTCAAAATCCGGGAGATTTGTTCGGCGCGGGGGGGGTGTTCTCTTTCACACATTTCTGTTATTATCAATGTAGCTGACTGCACAGTGAATCTTTCATAATATATACACTTTGTTTGTTATAATTAGAGGATTTGCCAGCATACAGAATTCAGCACTGAACAAAAAAGTTTTGAGCGGTGAGGGGAGTCCATCTTAAATGCTTCTGATTGGCCATTGCGTTCAAGAAATCAACACATATGTCTGTGATTGGCTACATCGCTCAACGCTGCAAACATGTTATAAATATAAACTCTGGCCTGTAAATCGTTTTTGTTGTTATTGTTGCTTTTCTGCAACAGATGAATAAAAATGTATTAGTTTTTTGTGTTTTATTCATAAATATTTCTAGTTTGCGGGAGTCCCGCGAATCGTTTTATTCTCACACACACAGAGTGAGTGCATTACCGCCCGCGCTCGCACTCGGCCATCAAATCTAGTCCCGCGCCGCACTCTATTTCGGGTTAAGCTTTCCGCGACTGCGCAACTGGGTTATAGGTTGCCAGGTTGAGATGACAAACGGGTTGAAATTGTATATGGTGTGTGGATTGTGTGAATATAATGCATTTAATACAAGATCTGGCAACTGGTCAACATCGGACAAACATATTGTTCCGATTATTCATAAAGGAGTTTGGGCCATGCAAATTACGGGAGTTTCCCGGGAGAAATAACAAACCGGGAGGGGTCCGGGAGATAGGGCTAAAAAACGGGAGAAACCCGGGAAAAACGGGAGTGTTGACAGGTATGGTTTAATGTAGTACTGACACTAAAACTCTGTAAACTTGATTTTTTTTTCTCACACAGTAATTTTCATTTTGGTTGAACGACACATGTTGTTGCATTTTTGTATTGCGATATATTGTGACAGCCCTCGCCAGTCCTGCGTTCTCCAGATCTTGTTTACCCCTCGGGAAGTTTTAGTTTGTGTTTGTTTTATGTATTATATAAAATATTCACCGCTTCCTCCTCCTCCTCCTCCTCCTCTCCTCC